ATAGCGATGACGACGATAGCGATGTCGACGATAGCGTTGACGACGATAGCGATGTCGACGATAGCGTTGACGACTATGATGAGTTTGCGCCCTTTTGCCCTATCGATCCTCCCCATCAGGAACACTCGCCCAACGGCGGCGAAGGAGCTGATTCGGCTGCGCAGACCCTGGTGCAGCCTTTGGCGCGTGAAGAGCTCGAGGCAGGAGAAGACTCTGCCAATAATTTTTTTGCCGCCCTCTCAGCCAGTACCACCCAGACTGCTGTGGCCGTGCCGGAACCGCCGGCCGCTGGGACAACCTCCAACCTTGCCCTCGCCACTTTTACCTCCACTGCACCTGCCTCAGTCAACCCTGTTCCAGTCGCCTCTGCTTCAGTCGTCCCTCCCTCAGACATTGCCGCTTCAATCGCGTCATCCACCGATGCCCGCGTGACCTTGCTGCAAACCAACACCAACGCCTTCAACTGTCCAGATGCTGATGCCATAGCAAAGACGCCCAATCCCGACTTGACTACCAATCTAAGCAGCGGTCTTTTGCTCGGTCCCACGGAAACGCACCACGCGCAGAACACCAAGCGTCAAAGCCCCTTGAGTCGCACGGCGGCAAGGCAGCGCAAAAAACAGGAGCTCTTGAGCCGTGTGCCTTTTGGAGGCGATGTCAGCCACTTGGTACGTCTTCCCGGTCTCTGCGTAGCTCCGTGCGATCACGACGAGTATCTGAGAGAATCGTGCGCTTCATTCTCATTTGTACTTCCATCTTCGTTGGCTCTACTCTCATCTGTATTCCTCGTCTTCATCATTGCATTCAGGTGACAAGTCCACCGTGCACCACGCCGTCTACGGCGGCATCAGAGACATCACATGCAAGTACCGAGGCGCGAACACGAGAAGCCTCAAGCGCCGCTGCGGACCGTAGCCCTTCCCCATCAATCGTCCAAACTCGGTCTCCACGTCGAACACACCTTGCACGAGTGGCGCAGTGGCAACCACATCCCAAGAAGAGAAAATCGTCTAAGTCCACCCAATAAGGAAACAGCTTGCTTACTAAGTGTTTGGAAAAAAAATCGTCCCGGGCGTTTGTCAATCGAAATAAACCTTGAATGACCATTGATCAATCAGAACTTGTCTTGTCCATCTGCCTCTACCCACCAAGTTGTCTCATTGCTTCGCTGACTCGTCTTATGGCGCTGCCATTTGACATACCAATCGGAGCCATGTAGCCCTAGAGAATCAAAACTAAGTTAGTTTTGTAAGGAAAAGAAATGGGATTTATTTCAGAATAACTAATTTTCTGGTCTTTGGGCTGCTACGGCATCCACAGGAAGCGTATGAACACAAGAGCACCCTCGTTTGATCCACAAAAATTTAGCGCTTCTGCTGTGCTTGATTTGAAACGTACTTCACACAGAATGGCCGAGCACGACCCGAAATACTGACTGCCAATTAATCGCACCTGCCTCAATCCCAAGAGCAATATGTTGTTACAAAAAGGGAATACATATGTTACTTTCAAGGAGGTGACCGAACTATCCCGCTGAACAACATATTAAGGTACATTCTTGCTGGAAGGTTCGTGGTGAGCCACGTCAGCGTCACTGCTTGCGACGGCTTTTGAATTGTTTGGCAGACAAAAATATGCTGCATTGGTATACCCAAAAAAGCGTCAGCCTTCCTGTTGTCAACAACTGTTGAGGACAATATCTTACCGTTGGGCCGGCGACCCCGACACTGCGCAGCGCAGAGCAACGCGACGACAAGAGTGCGGCCGGTGATCGCAGGGCTTGCTGGAGAGCGCGGGGGAGGAAAGCGGTGTCGAAGGGTCGATCTCACGGTGGAACGTGGTAGTGGAAGCGTGCATGAAACGGTGCTGTTTGATAAGGCCCCCGTGACTGGGCCGCAGCGTCATTACCAGCAACATGGGCGAGCCGGTGCCGACGGTGAGCCATGAACAGGAGGCCTTGCTTCGCCAGATTGCGCAAACTGGCTGTGCCAACGAAGCCTGGGACACCATCAAGGTGGCAATCAAGGCCTGCTGTCTGCGCTACGTGGACGCTGTTCTTGGCCATGCGCGTGCTGCCCCGCCCCATGTCATTCATATTCCACCCAAGCCCACCCGTCCGGAAGCCACGGAAGGGCCAGCCCATGATACCTTTGTCGCGCGCCTCGCCAAGCACGACGTGCGCAGTAAGATTGCGCCGCGCACCGCGCGCCGGCTCGCAGCGCAGCACAGAGCTGATTTTAGCCACACGAGCGCTTCGTCTTTGCTTGCTGGCGCATTTGTCCTGCTCGACCATTTTGAACGGTACGCGCATCGCCACCGGGCTTTGCTGCTCCGGGTTGTTTGCGGCAAAGCCTCCCCTCCCTCACAATTTGCTACCTTTTTTTTTTTTTTTGTATGTGTGTGTGATTGTGCTCTATAAACATTTAGCTTGCCCTTTACGTGCCAGCGGCTGACTGAAATCATTCTCAATGCCGCACCCACGCTGCATAATCCCGAGGCTGCGGTGCGCCACATCGAGCAGGTTTGTGCTTCTTCCCTACGCCGTGACCGACTCGAGCTGACATGTATGCAGCGTTGCCTTGACTCCCGTGTTGAGCGCGCGCTTGTGCCTATTGGACTGGCTGTGGTCTTCCTCGTCACTCCACTCACTCATGGCTTTGGTGGGTAGCTGTTGCGCGTTGACACGTGCTTGAATCGGGATCATCTGCCTCAACGGGCCGAGTTTGAGGCACGGCCCACCAATCGCTCGAGCTCGCAACAGGTGAACGAAGGTGAACCGTATCCGAGCAGCATGCTCCCCGACCATGGAGAAGCGGATAACGTGGACAATGAAATCAATGCCGGGGGTGTGCGGATTATGGCCGCACAAGTCTTGACCTCTGATCTGGACTCGTTGGCGCGTATGGACACGGATCTGGATTTTGACGCTGAAAACAACGAGGGCAATGGTCATGCCTCGGCTGGCGGGGATGCTGGTGAAGGCCTTGACCAGTCGGGCAGTGACAGCAGCCACGATAGCGTCGACTCCAACCCTACCGGCCACGATAGCCAGGACAGCCATGATAGTCAAGAGGGTCCGTCTGAGCTTGCAGGTCTCAACCACCACACGCACAACGAGGACTCGGAGCGCGGGCCGGACCTCGATTCGCAAGAAAATTCCAACGGTTCTTCCACTGATGGGGACAACACGTTTGCCGGCAGTTCGGCCTTGGATGCGGCCATGGCCATCCCACCAGGGCTGCTGGGCGATAGCGAAACAACCAATCAAGGCCCGCCCGAGAAGCAGGCCAAACTCCTCTTGGGCTGAGCCCAAAAACTCTGCTGCATGGTTGTGCAGAGTTGTTGAGTTGATGAACCTTCGTTCCTGCCGCTGTTGCCGGTGTATTTGACGTTGGTTGATTTGCCTCGTGCCCGTGTCGGCGAGGCATGTGAATCCCATACCTAAATCACTTTTCGCATCATTGTATGGTCTGAGGAACAGAAAGCGAGGGCGTGAGAGTGAGAGACGGAGTGAGAGACGGAATGAGAGAGATTTAGAGAGATTTACAAAGAGTCATGTCATGTCATGATGACTTTGTAGAAAAAAAAGACTTGGTGTTTTTTTGGAGGACATGGTCGTTACCCGTTCTGTGTCATTCACCACTCCTCTTTGTGTGTGTGTGTGTGTGTGTCACGCGGTCTGTGATTCTCCGTCTCGGTCTGTGTCTGTTGTCTGTGTCTGTGTCTCTCTCTCTAATTCTTCGTCAACCAATGACTCTCTTCTCTCTGTCTCTGTCTCTGTCTCTGTCTCTGTCTCCGTCTCTTCTCACTCACCTCTAACTCTTCTCGCTCACATCTCTCACCTCTTCTCTCTTCTCTCTCACCTCTTATCTCTTCTCTCTCTCTCATGTCTTCTCCCTCTCTCATCTCTCATCTCTCATCTCTCATCTCTCTCATTTCGAATATTTTTTTTTTGAATTTTCTTCTTCTTCTTCTTCTCCGCCTCTCGGCGGCGTTGGGCATTTGGACGGCGGCATTGTGCAGGTATGGGTGGCGCCAGGTGGACGGGACGTGCTTTGGCCTGGTATTGTTTTGCTCCATGCCTCGCCTTTCGGTGTAATGAAGCCAGAGTGGGGGCACAGGAGGCCCCCTATCCGCCCCCCCTCTGAAAAAATAGGGAACACGTGTGTCCCTTCCCAACAAGGACCTCGTCAACGCCCGGCTGCACAGACTTGCTGCGGGTGTCGGTGCTGTTCCTGTCTCGTTGATTCCAAGGGCTCATTCGCATCAACCTCTTGGTGTCTTGGCTTTGGCTTTCCAGAAAGATCCAGCCAGATCGCGTGAACGAGTCGGCATTGCCCCTCGTCATCCACGCCCTCCATGTCGGTCAATATGGCGGGCGTAACGTACACCGATGCCGAGAGCGCCCCGCTCATCGAGCACTTTCCCAAGGTGCCTGATCCCGCTTTCGCGTCCCTTGCTCTTGCTCATCCCTGGTATTGGGCTGTAGCAGGCCCCCTTTTAACCTCGTTGATCTTGCTGCGCCCTTCTGGCCTCTTTGGTGTGCTTGCCGGGAACAGGGATCACATACGGGCTACTCTCGTAACGTCTTTTTGTGGCAAAGCTTGGCAGCTACCATCTTCTTCATCGGCGGCTGTGGTGGTGTTGGTTCGTCCCTCCTCCCCCTTCTGACCTCTCCAAAGCATCCCCCACACCCATCAAGCAGACGGCCCGGGCACCCTGAATGCAACTTCACCATCAAACACCATATTTCTCCTCTCGGATCGCTGATGGTTCTCCCTCCCCTCCCGGATCGCTGGTGGTTCTCCGAATAGGCTTGTCTTTGGTGGGTCGTGCCTTTTCCGCCCTGTGCTCGGAAGATGCCTGTGCCGCGGCACGCGTCTACCAGGGCTGCTTCGATGCCACGCCCATGCTGGGCATCAACATGCTCGTCTTTCTCGCTCCCCTCGGCGTCATTGCCCTCGGTTCTCTCATCATCGAAGTCAGCCAAAAGGTCTGCCGTATCAGCCACCACCTACCCCTCCACCGCTCGTCCCTCATCCTGCCGGTTCTCCAAGCGTCTGCTTAACTCAGCTCTCGTGTCTGGTTCTTTTGCATCTGGGCGCGTGTAGGCAAATCGCTGGCAACGTACCTCCATCGCCGCAATCATGGCCTTGCTCTCCGTTTGCTGTGCCATCATCACCATTTTGTCGTGGATCTATCTTTTGAAACCCGCCACCGTGTACAATTATGATGACGATCAGCAAAACGTCCTAGAAAACGACGCCCTGCTTGTTCTTATTGGCGGTTTTATCGCCATGGCCTTTACTCCCTTGACACTCGGTGAGCCGGCTTCTCGGCTTGTTTTGCTTGCCACGCGGCCTGATTGTCCAACTCATGACGTTACTTTTTTTTCCTTTCTGTCTCCGCAAATCCGCGCCCGACAACCAGTCACCGCCTATCTGGCCACGTACCATCTCACCTATCGCCCGGCCACCTTCCGGCCCAAGACCAGCCGCCAGCCCCTGACACGCTCCTCCTTCAAGGAAAACTGGAAGCCCATCGCCATGCTCTTCCTGCTCTTTCTTGTTTGGGGATTTTCCGATGGCACCTTCAGCGCCGTTTGGAACTATTCGGCCCACTCCTATTTTATGGCCACCTCCTCCTTCGCCGTCATTGAGACAGAGGTTGACAATCAATTCTACTTCAAGGTCAGTCCCTCTTTCTCCCCTTTGAATCCCTTTGACCGCCTGCCGCTTGCCTTCTCCTTTCTTTCATCAAAACATTCACCCCCGCCTGTCATTTTGCCGTATTCGATGGTGCAGGTGTACGAGGACACCCTCGTGTACTTTGCGTTTTTGACTTTTGTGGTCGTGCTGGGCGTCATCACCCATTTCAGCCCTCGCATCCAGCGCACCATGCATACACGATACAAGGTGCGCAGCAATTTGGGGCAAGCGCAGGCCGTGGGAACTGCATGAACTCTTGTGCTTACGCCGCCCCCGTCCTCAGGTGTATGCTCCACTGAGCAGCTACCTGCCCTATGGCGTAACTGTGGGGGAGACTCTGCTCCTGCTTGCCGTGGCCGGTCTGGCTGGGTACTGGCTCTATTTTTGGCGTTGGGGATACGATCGCATCACAGTGGTACGGTCACAAGCTTGCTTGACAGCACAGTCCTTTGGGCAAGCAGTCGTCAATTTTGTTCCGATAATTGCAGCTCCTCATGATTCGGCCTGCCTCGACAGGAATCTGGCGAGTCTACGGGTTTGCCAAATGTCTGCTGTCCCAACCAGACCTTTACCGAGGACAACTCCTGTACTTTTCCGTTCGTAACCCCCTTCCGTTGTGTATGCCTCTTCGGGGCTGCCGGCTTCTTTGGGCACGCTGCCATTGTGGCACCTCTCTGACCCATTGTTCTGTGCGGCACGGTGGTGCAACGGTGGTTTAACGTCGCAGGGCTGACCCCAACGCGGAGCTGCAAGTCTGGGCTCGTGTCCTTGGACACATGACAACGCTTTTCATGTCTTTCCTGATCATGCCCGTGGCCCGCAATTCGGTCTGGGAGTATGTTTTTGGCGTTCCATTTGAGCGTGCCATCAAGTATCATCGCGCACTTGGCGTGATCGTCTGGACCTTGGTGACAAGTCACATGATTCTCTGGATGATCAAGTGGTTGCGCGACAGCACCCTGTTGCACAACATTTTTACCATTGACGACCTCAAGATTACTCACGAGAACGTACGACTGTTTGACCTTTTGCATGCACCGCTGCGGATGCTTGCCAGTTGCCTTGGACCCTGACTCTTGGGCATTTGATTTTAACAATGCTTGCTTGGTAGATCCACTATGACAACTTTACGATTGTGATGGTGGAGACAGCCTGGTTGCTGATGACCATCATGGTCGGATTGGCCCTGTGGACTCGTCGCTCCTCCTATGAGTTGTTTTATTTTACCCACTACTTTGGTATCTTCTTTTACATTGCTGCTCTAGTTCACGCTTGGTCCTTTTGGTACGTTGCGCGCCCGCGACTAGCAACGGAGATACCGTTGGGCACCTGCTTTCCTATCTTGTCTGCTTGATCGTCCGAGCCCATCTGCTCTCGAGGCCTCAATTTTGCATGGGTCGTGATTGATGCAAACTCTTAGGTACTACACCATCGGTGGTCTTGTCTTGTGGCTGTACGACCGCTGCATGCGTATTGTCTCGGCCTCGGGCCCCGTGGATCTCAAAAACGCCTACTATGACATCGATGCTGGCGTGGTACGTGTTTCTATGCCCGCCTCTGACCAGATCCAGACTCGTGATGGCCAGCTGTTGACGCACCCTTTGGACACTGGCGTGCTGGGCTCGTATCTATCACAGACGGTTTTGCACTGGAACAAGCCCGGCTTTCAACATCGAGCTGGCCAGTATGCTTGGATTTGCGTGCCCTATGTCTCACATCTGGAGTGGTAAGCAATCATCCCGACGCTCAAATGCACGCGCACAATTCGTGGCTTCGACTCTTTTTTTCTCACATTTGCACGTGTCCGTTAGGCACCCTTTCACCATCAGCTCCCACCCATCGGCGAGCGAGCATACGTTTCATATCAAAGCCATGGGCAAGAACACGTGGACAGAACGCTTGGCTCATGCCGTGGAACGGGACCCGCACATGATTACTCTGCGCATTGATGGCCCCTACGGTCGCCCAGAATACTTTGATCAGTGCTCGTACGTTAAGTCTTGGCCGGGATCCTCTTTTTGCAGGATCAAGGCGTGTATTTGCGCCAAGGTGTTGATCTGCTGCCTGTTCAACGCGGCTGTCTTGACACGCCCTCATTTGTCTTTGCGTGATCTGGTGGTGGCTGGCTGCATGCACATCTGGTACTGACTGTAGGAATTTACTTCTGGTGGCTGGCGGCATTGGCATTACGCCAATTTACGCCATTCTGTCCGAGCTCAGCGAGCTGTACAACAGCGGTGAAGGTCTCGGCAAGATCCGCAAGGTCACCCTGGTCTGGTGCATGCGACAGCCTGGTATGGTTCTCGTTTGTGTTTTGTGTTAATGACGATGACAAGTCTTTTCGGTAACTCGGGCGCTCCCGCTCACACAACGGTGCATTGATGTTTTCCGGCTTTTAGCTTTGCGCCAGACATTTGCGCAGATGATCATGATGGCAGCCCGCCAATCAGAGGTGTTTGATATCAAGCTTTACTTCACGCGCGGAGACGTTGGCTCTTTTGGCCGTGCCACTGGTAAGAAGCGCTGCCAGATCTGCAGCACCGGTTGCGAGAATGTGTTGGTGCACGTCCGCTAACGTTTTTGGTGCTGTAATGATATCGTTTTAGATGAGGTGGAGGGTTCGGAAAAGAAACAGTTTCTGGACTCGTGCGTGCGCAAGGGCCGACCAGACTTGGACTCCATTGCGAGCAAACTGCCATCAGGACGCGACACGATGTTGATGGTCTGTGGCCCGCAGCCCATGATCAAGGAGTGCTCTGATATTGCTTTTGCGTACGACTTTAGCATGCACCACGAAGTCTTTACTTTTTAGATCCTCAACACCATTTCGGTTTGAGAAACGTTAGCATGCCCTGTCTAAAGCCGTGCCTTGCTGAACACCCAATAAGGTTATCCTCGTTGTTGTCGCGTATTTGCGCCGCTCATTGTTCTTGTGGGCCTTTTTTTCTTTCTTTTTTTTCTCTTGAGTTTTGTGTGTATCTGTCAGCTCCGTCTGGAGCGTGTGAGAGAGTTTGTGACCAAGAATTCAACTCGACCAAGCCATGGGCTTCAAGTCCAACCCCGCCTCTCACAAGATCACAAGACTCGTCTATCATGAAGAGGCCCGAAGGAAGACAACCGAGCATGTGGCAAAATTAGAAATATCCAGCAAGGGTAGCTGTGCACAAGTCAGGCTCGTGTCATGACCACACCTGTACCCACCCACGCACCACCGCAACACAACTCGACTACCTAACATACCGCATCTGAGCAAAAAAGACCTTTCGAGGCTTGATCTTTTTCGTGTCTGTCACTCTCTGTTTGTCTTTGTCCTCTCTCTCTGTCTCTGTGTATGTCTTTCGTGTGTGTCTGCATCTCATCTGTCTCTGTCTCTGTCTCTGTCTCTGTCTCTGTCTCTGTCTCTGTCTCTGTCTCTGTCTCTGTCTCTGGCTCTGTCTCTGTCTCTGTCTCTGTCTCTGTCTCTGTCTCTGTCTCTGTCTCTGTCTCTGTCTCTGTCTCTGTCTCTGTCTCTGTCTCTGTCTCTGTCTCTGTCTCTGTCTCTGTCTCTGTCTCTGTCTCTGTCTCTGTCTCTGTCTCTGTCTCTCTGTCTCTGTCTCTGTCTCTGTCTCTCTGTCTCTCTCTCTCTCTCCCTCTGTCTCTCTCTCTCTCTCTCTCANTCTCTCTCTCTG